TACAACATTACATACATTACATACATTACATACATTACATACATTACATACATTACATACATTACATACATTACATACATTACATACATTACATACATTACATACATATATTACATACATGCATTACATACATGACATACATTACATGCATTACATACATTGCATACATACATTACATACATTACATACATTACATACATTACATACATTACATACATGCATTACATACATACATTACATACATTACATACACTACATACATTACATACATTACATACATTACATACATTACATACATTACATACATTACATACATTACATACATTACATGCATTGCATACATTGCATACATTGCATACATTGCATACATTACATACATTACATACATTACATACATTACATACATTACATACATTACATACATTACATACATTACATACATGCATTACATACATACATTACATACATTACATACACTACATACATTACATACATTACATACATTTCATACATTACATACATTACATACATTAAAAGCATTACATACATTGCATACATTACATTAATTTCATTACATTACATTACATTACATTACATACATTGCATACATTACATTCATTACATACATTACATACATTACATACATTGCATACATACATACATACATACATACAGTACAGTACAGTACATTACATTACATTACATTACACTACATTACATTACATTACATACATTACATGCATTACATGCATTACATACATTACATACATTACATACATTACATACATACATACATACATGTCAGTACAGTACAGTACATTACATTAGAGTACAGTACATTACATTACATTACACTACATTACATTACATTACATACATTACATACATTACATACATTACATACATGACATACATTACATGCATTACATACATTACATACATTACATACATTACATACATTACATACATTACATACATTACATACATACAGTACAGTACAGTACATTACATTACAGTACATTGCATTACATTATTACATTACATTACATTACATACATTACATGCATTACATGCATTACATTACAGTACATTACATTACATTACATTGCATACATACATTACATACATTACATACATTACATACATTACATACATTACATACATTACATACATGCATTACATGCATTACATACATACATTACATTACATTACATTACATTACATTACATTGCATTACATTACATTACATTGCATTACATTACATTACATTACTTTCATACATACATACATTACGTTCATACATACATTACATTACATTACATTACATTACAGTACAGTACATTACATTACATTACATACATAAATTACATACATTACATACATTACATTGCATTACATTACATTACATTACTTTCATACATACATACATTACGTTCATACATACATTACATTACATTACATTACAGTACAGTACATTACATTACATTACATTACATACATAAATTACATACATTACATACATTACATACATTACATACATATATTACATATATTACATACATATATCACATACATACATTACATACATGACATACATTACATGCATTACATACATTGCATACATACATTACATACATTACATACATTACATACATTACATACATTACATACATTACATACATTACATACATATATTACATACATGCATTACATACATGACATACATTACATGCATTACATACATTGCATACATACATATACATCTTGCATTTCCAAAACATGCATCTATATTGGGAGAATTCGTGCGCAAAACAACCAGTTGCCCAAGCGAAAGGGCACGGGTCCAAGGAATGGAATACCACTGCCTTGAAACATCGAGCAGAACCCCACGATGAACAAAGCTGGGTTCGTCCTCAATGTAATGCGGGCAGCCAGGAATGGACATGCCACTGGCGACCTGCACTCTGTCAGTTTTGAGCTAAAGAAACTGGCAAAAGATGTGAAAACCTACAGGACCTACAAGTGTGTGATCAAAGGGGAAATTGACCAAACAAATTCCATCTTTTGGATGGTAAAACCATTGTTTCCAGGAAATATCCACTTGAATCAATCAACTCAGTGAGCTGATGTCCAAAGGAAAATAGATTTACTGAAAAAACAAAACAGAAAGTGGATCTGTACAAAACTAAGAATGATTTTTCCGAAATCATGTCAACCATTTCCGCGGCACGCGAATCGAAAGCAGTTGATAGAGAGTCGCCATGGCATTGGCAAGCGCCCAAGAGCTTGGAGCTACAACCAGGATGCCAGACCTAAGCGCAGACGCAAGCCGCAAAAAAAAAACAAATATGGGATTTACCCTTTGGTCATGTAATGTAGCTATGGAAAATCAAAAATAACCATTTCGAATACAGAAATCATCATGTGTATCATCTATCAATGGCCAATGGCTTCCATAGCAAACTGTGAAATCACCAGAAGGTCACCAGCCAGGTCATCAGGTCATCTCGCTGTCTGGCCAGAATCAGCTGATCAAAATTGGCTTAGAACATACATTTGGTAAAAACCAAAGGAAGTTTAGAAGTCAAACTTCCGACAATATGGAGAGATGGAAAAGCAGAGGTGGGAACAGGCAGAGAAGAGAAGAGAAGAGAAGAGAAGAGAAGAAAAGAGAAGAGAAGAGAAGAGAAGAGAAGAAAGGAAAGGAGAAGAGAAGAGAAGAGAAGAGAAGGAGAAGGAGAAGGAGAAGGAGAAGAGAAGGAGAAGAGAAGGAGAAGAGAAGGAGAAGAGAAGGAGAAGAGAAGAGAAGGAGAAGGAGAAGGAGAAGGAGAAGGAGAAGGAGAAGAGAAGGGAAGAGAAGAGAAGAGAAGGGAAGAGAAGAGAAGAGAAGAGAACAGACAAGACGAGACGAGACGAGACGAGACGAGAAGAGAAGAGAAGAGAAGAGACGAGAAGAGGCGAGACGAGAAGAGAAGAGATTGAGTGAGAAGACATAAGATGCAGGCGCGCGGAAAGGTAGAAAAGTGGCGATTCACTCTGTTTTTCCAATGATTTGTGGCTCCGGAGGGTCGAAAAGTAGGCTCGCTAAAGCGGCGGGTGCGGAGCCATCTGGCCAGATGAGAGATGAAAAATTGCACGCCGTTGTGGCGCGAAGAACGTTTGGAAGTATTAGTGTCCAAAACACACTATGTTTGGAGCACTTTTGGAAGTTGAGATGTCGAAAAAGTGCACGTCGTTGTGGCGCGAAGCACATTTCCAAGTCAAAATGCACAAAACGCCAACATCGGACCACTTTTGGAAGTTGAGATGTTGAAAAAGTGCACAAAAAACAAGGGGTACGGAGCACTTTTGGAAGTTCAGATGTCGTTTTGCGTGGCAGGCGCCGGGGATTGTGCACCTTGTCGAAAGTGAGCAGAACATGAGGATCTTGTGACAGTTTCAAAAGCGTTGGCAGGCGTGGGACATTTGAAGAGGATCTGCAAAGATGCACTTTCCGTGGCAAACGCAGTACAAGAGACATGTGCATCAGAGATGTTAGGAGGTCCGGGCGGTGATTTCCTGAGATGGGTTGCATTTTGGAGCATCAGATCTTCAGTTTTGGGAAGATGATATTGTGTGACAGGTGCAGCACTTCGTATGACCGGGCCTCACTTTTTCGTGGCAGGCGCAATACTTTAGACAGATGGAGTGGACAAATCTCAAAACGCATCGGCACGAGGCCGTCAGCTCTGTCACTCAACTTTCCATTTTTGAAGGAAGTCTCGCAGAATTGCTTCGTTTTTGATGTTGTCAACTTCGGAAATTGAGGAAGTCTGGCAGAATAGCTTTGTTTTTGATGCTGTCAAGTTCAAAATAGATAGATAAGTAGGTAGACAGCTACAACTACCACTCCATTACTACTACTACTACGACGACGACGATGACGACGACGATGACGACGACGACCACCACGACGACGACGACTACTACTACTACAAATACAAATGCTACTACAACAAATACAAATGCAAATGCAAAAATTCTCCGCTACAGTACACTACACTAATTACATTACAACTACAACTACAACTACATCTACAGCTACAACTACAACTACTACTACTACAACAACAACAACTACTACTACTACAACAACAACTACTACTACTACTACCGCTACTACTACTACTACTACAACTACTACTACTACTACCACTACCACTACCACTACCACTACCACTACCACTACCACTACCACTACCACTACCACTACTACTACTACTACTTCTACTTCTACTACTACTACTACTACTACCACTACCACTACTACTACTACTCCTCCTACTACTACTACTATTGCTACTACTACTACTACTACAACAACTACTACTGCTACTACTACTCCTACTACTACTACTACTTCTACTACTATTACTACTACTACTACTACTACTACTAGTACTAGTACTACTACTACTACAAAAGCAGCTACAGCTACAACGAAAGCTACACTACATTACACTGCTACACTAGTACTACAACTACAACTACAGCTACAGCTACATTACATTACACTACACTAATTACACTACACTTCACTAGTTACATTACAACTACAACTACAACACCAACTACTACAAATACAGCTACAACTACATTTGCGACTATAGCTACACTACATTACACTACACTACACTAATTACCCTGCCCTACGCAACACTACACGACGCCACACTACAACTACAACGAAAACTACAACCACAACTGCAACCACACTACATTACACAACACTATTACAACTACAACTACAGCTACAACTACACTACAACTACAACTACACCACTTTCCGGTACATTACACTAGACTAGACTACGCTATACTACACCACAATACACAACTTTACAGCACACTACAATACAGTGCACTGCACTATAGTACACTACACTACATTACATTACCCTACACTAATTACACCACACCACAACCACTAATTACACCACACTACAACTACAACTCCACTACACTACAACCAGCAGTTGTGGGTGAGGTGACCACTGCAACCATTGCAACCACTCTAAAACACAACTCCAACCACCTTTCGGTCCATCAGTGGATTCACTCTGCCATCCATGCATCACAGCAACTCACCTCTCCTATAGTGTCCGATGCTTGAAACTTCCGCCACCGCCTTGTGCGGTACTACTGGTAAAATCAAAGATTAAACACAATGTGTATGTGCATGTATGTGTATTGATATCTGTATGATTACATATAAATGTGCGTGTCTGCAATCATGCATACATGTATCAGTGTAAGTACGTACTTACGCATGTATATTATATGTGCAAATAAAATCCTAAATAATATATATTTAATTAATTTAGATACTGTATACATGCACATATATGTATGTATATAATTATATATTATTACGCCGTCAAAATCAATTGTTGATGCTTGGTACGAAAATATAGGTTAACGGTTATCGCTTTTTTGGCGGGGCCTATCGCTTTACAGTGCTTTATCCAAATCAACACTAGATAATGCATAAATGCAGCGGAATTGGTTTCACGGATTCAGATCTCTAAACTGCTGGAGATGGATTAAGGGGGCGCTCGTTGTCTTTGCGTTTGCAACCATGTTGGGGAGCTCTTTAAGCACATTCCTAGACTCTTTCCTAAGCAAGGAAATTTATTACAGTCTCAACTCCAAACTAGAATGACAGTAGCCAATATCAGATCAATAATTCTATAAAACGAAAAAGGATATCGCTGTGGTCAAATGAGTCTATCTCTCGTCCGGGGTCCCTTTTTCAACAAAAGGTTATCGCTAGGTTTTCGCTAAATTAGAACACCAGGATGATCAAGAAAGGGAGAGAAAGACAGGGCCGTTCCCACAACTTCGAAACAACAGCCACTATGTAGGAACAGCAGTTTGACCGTGGGGTTGGCTATTGGTTGTTTTTCTCCAGTTGCGAAGCAAATTCGCATCGACCAATAATATGACAGCAAAAGGCATGGCAAAAAAAAACATTACCGAACCTTTTTTTGAGGCCATCAGAATTCAGCCCGATCATCCGTGGATAAATACAAGCCCCTACATCATCGCCACCAGTGGCGATGGGTCCATCCAGGTTGAAGCAGAATGAACCACCACAGTAGCACCCACAGCTTAAGTTTAAAGAGTTGCAAACACAATGACCCCTGGTAACAGCTATAATCATCGATTATCAATGCTTTCATTAAATTACTGTTTTGGATTGTGGGACTTACTCGTTAATTATCAGACCATCTACCAGTACTAGAAGATTAAATGGGAGCAGGCGCTTCCCCTGTTCCAGGTAAAGTTTGCTTGGCAACAATGCTTCGCTATAGTCATCCCGCCCGTCACGGGCAAGCACCGTCCCTGAGAAGATGACCGGGCAATTGAGGGAACACATTGTCACATTGCAATCAAGTAAGGCCGTTTTCACTGATGCTGAGCGGCTCAAGAACACACTGCAAGCCGATAGCGATAGGGAACCGAAAGGCTCAGGATTCATGCTTCACCTGCACACGTTCTGTCGTCGCACCAGCAAACTTCAATTGATGGCTTGTGAAATATGAAGTGCTGGAGAACATTGTTGCAGAACCTGTGGCGGTGTGCGCGCCGCAGGCCCTGATTTCGCTATCAGCGTTTTGAATTCCTATCTGAGCCCCCCTAAGAACACCTGAAGCCGTTGCCAGAGTTGCCGTCTTTCGCATGGGAATATTTTTCCAAATGTCTGCAGCCCAATGACTTCTGGGGCCCCTGCCTATCTCACTCAAGTCCAGCACATGGGAGCAGGTGCATCTTGAGTGAAAGGTTAAGATCTCCAGCGTCAAGGCGCAGCCGGTGAATTTCGGAATTTCGCTTTGCGTCTTAAGGTGATAGCCGTGCGGTGTCTGGATTTGCCACTGCTGAGCTGACTTCAAGAGAAAGTTTGGAAACGTTCATCGCGCTCACACATCATGAGTCTAGCAGAGGTAGTTGTAGATCATTTGGCCATTGTGGAATTGGATTTCGGCTTCACCAACAAAGGCATTGGGGAACTGCAAGCGTAAGCTGCCGGGATGCAATGGAAGGGAAGAAGGCGGAGAATGCCGATGAGGTTGGACTGGAGACGGCACAAAAGATGAAGACCCAGCCAAGAACAGCACTCCCCCCAAAGCCGACTGGAAAGGGCATGGCGGAGGACTTACATACAACATTATATGCTGCAACGCGACGGAACGCGAATATAGCAGTTGGCCACTGTGGCACGCAGCCATTCTTCCCGGCTGTAGCCGTCAGCAGCACATGGCTTGAATTTTGATCTGCGACGTGGGTGCGAAAACAATAGCATTAATTGCTCGCACCAAGAGCTGATTTCCTTTGGGCTCAAGAAACACATGCATGCTCCATCACAGAGGACGCAAATCTTTTTCGGTGCTGCCGGCAAAATTGTGTCCAACTATGTGGCACTCTAAAATCTAAAGCCTTGGTTCGCTCAAAATTGTACTGCCTATCGTTTCTATATCTTCTGCTCTACGCGTTCTTTTGACAAGCCAAAAGGTAGAAACACTTTCTCTTCAAGCGGCTATGCCACCAAGTCCCGTATCGTCTCAACTGTATTGGTCCTTTTGATGAATTTGAATCATCCCAAGCACAGTGTCACAGCGACACCCTGCTTGGTGGGATTCGGAATCCACAATCAGAAGAAACATTGTTGCCTCAGCTGCTTCTCTTGTATATGTGGCCAGTCCAAGCCATCTAAGCTTTCCAAGTGGGATTCAGCATTTTGAATCATCCCAAGCACGGTGTCACAGCGACACCCTCCTTGGTGGGATTCCCAATCCAGAATGCCCGGAACAGCTCTGGAAGGTGCCCGGATTAAGGTCTCTGATTGCCTAGGTCTAGAGGCGCTGGCGATGCAGCTGTTCTGTGTTGCCATGTGTTTGCATCCAGGGTGGCCTTTGAAGCGTCCATTCAAGTTCCGGCATGCATGCTTGTTCTTTCAAGCTCTGCGTAGCAAGCACGAAAAACAACAACACGCAAGTCCACAATTTCAATAGTCTCCACAAAGCCGTTTCAACAAGATGGAAGCCATATTGAGGAACCCTTCGGATATTAAAGAATCTGCCAAAAAATATGCTTTCAGTTCTTTTCTCAATGAGCAGCCAACCCAAATGCATTAGATTGCAACAGTGAGAACATAAGCTCACACCATTCCATCTCCTGGGCCTTCAGCTTGTATAACTCCTTCCGTCACATGCGGTCTAGGGCGCGCGGCTTTTGCGCGCCTGGCGCCCCTTCGGGCGCCCAGCTTCTTTATGGGTTCAGTATACCGCCGGAAAATCATCCCAGTCTGTGTGTTCCTCCTGTTTGGGGTTGTATCCCAGCTTCTGTCAAACTGTTGCCTCCGTTGCTTAAAACCACCTATACCAAACGGTAGTAGGGCCTACATAAAGGCGCGCGCTTTTCGCGCGCCTATTGTAGGCGCGCGCTTTCTGCGCGCCTGAGGCGCGCGCTCTTTGCGCGCCTATTGTAGGCGCGCGCTCTTTGCGCGCCTGGGGCGCGCGCTTCTTGCGCGCCTGGGGCGGGCGCTTTTTGCGCTCCTGGTGCGGCGAGTGCTTTTTCCAAGCCAGGCCTAGCCGTTGGGTATTTTTGTTGTGTTTTGCACTACCCTGCTCCCGTTTGGTTCATGGCCAAAACCGCTCTGCACTGCAATATCGTTGTCCACGCCAATGTCCTCGGGTGTGCTTCATTCCAGCACCCTAAGAGCCATCTGCTCCCTCCCCCATTCATCCTTCTTTCTGTACCCATCTCTTCCATCGAAATCTTATGAAAACGGCCCTCGTCCATCAAATTATTCAGATATATATATATATTTTTTTTTACTATCTGTATGTGTAAGATGCGGCCAAGCAAAATCAAATATCTAGGACCACCTCTTCCACTCCGTTCCGCTCCCTCACATCCACATCCCTTCCAGACGATGGGCGGAAAAACGGACGTGCTGAAATGTAGTTAAGCGATTATGCCTTAGATATGTAGAATACCCATTGACGCTGCACGTCGGGAATTGATAGATCCATCATAAACTTGCGGTCTGCGGCCGGATGCTGTTGGTCCCGTGGGGCCAAGAGCGGCAACAATAGAGCTCCAGAATGCTAGACCGAGGAAAGAGTAATGAGAACATCTGCCAACCATAATGGGATCGAAATCCGTGCGTAAATGGCTTTAATAATGGGAATACCATATTAATAAGATAGTCTTGCTGGCATCTACCAGGAATAACGGGATGACAAGCAGCCCGCTATGGTTGGCATATATGCCTAAGGCCTATCACGAAATTGTAGCCAACTTGCTGATATATCATATGAATAGTTCCTCGCATTGACGCGTTCCACTCATCATTCCAGGCAATCATTCATTCGAGGACCTCGAAATCCATGATGTCCGTTCTTGTTAGTAGGCGTTTCGCGTATATACCCAGTTGATATATACCCATACTTGATATCCCCGTTCATTAGCTCTACAATCCGTAATGGTGAAACAAAAACAAGGTTGATTTCCTACACAATGACAGCCCCAGTTTGGCTTTTGGGCACGCCCCTGAAAGAGGAAATGAAATCGACAAACGAAGCAAAAACGAAAAAATGAAATAGGTAGAATTCAGAATTGGATTCAAAATCAATGTTGATTTACTTCACAATTCAATTGCGTTTAGTTTTGAAAGTAAAGTAAAAGGAAAAAGAAAGGTAAGAAAAAAAGTAAACAAAGGAAGAAGAATTTCAAATCAAATTATACAGCACATACACAGAGTTCAGAATTGATTTAAAACTATTTTTTGATTTAGTTCAGAATTCAATTGCATTTAGTCATTTAGTTTAGTTTAATTCTACTGCTTTGGGACCTGGGAGAAAAAAAACAAACTGCCTGCAGAAAGCAACGATTCAATCACCTTGGACAACAAATGACATGGCCACTGCAAGAAACGTGGGCACTGCAGGTTGATTTTTTTTCATCAGTTTTGCCCATCGCGTGAAGGTGGCCAACAATATGTTCTTGGTTTACACCAAGTTTAATGCAACCTCATATGGTTACAAGTTATCGTTTTTTTTTGCGGGGCCTATAACTTTACATGGTGCACTTTCTGGACGCAACTGGACCCTCCCTTACTAAAGTAGTCTACGCTTATTTTGACCGTATCTCTATAACATATATATATATATGCACACGCATACGTGTCTATAGATAGGTGTACATACACTCTTCACTTGAACCAAAACCGAGGTACTTTGTGACATTCAAGACATAGCCCTCACGACGCTCACGTAGATGCTCTACTGGTGGTGCTTCAATTTGGTGTAAAAACTCCACCTTGAAGTCTTCAGCTTCGCCATCCTTCAAACGCGAGAGTCGGGACAGGACTTGGGCGTTCACAATTCTCCAGGTCTCCTGACCCGCAGATTTTGCTGCTTCCTTCAACACTTCCAGCTTCCAACCCGTCAGGTGAAGGGTGTCGCCGCCGGAGCTGTGTTTCAAGGGTTTGGGGATCAACACCTGATGCTTTCCTTCGACCCCAGCATCGGCTGCACTGTTGCGGCGCCAGGTCTGTAACAAGGAATCTGCAGTGGATCTGCACACCACCGCGCAGAAAACGCACCAAAACAAAGATGCCATGCCCACAGAAATCCACTGCTCTCACGATTTGAGGAAAATATGCCACACACATCATGTCGATGAGATCGCGTTTTGCTCCATCACTGTCTAGCGATGAAAAGGATATATCGACAAAATGGGAACAACATTGGAAAATATGGAAACATGTTGGTAGCCAATGACCTTTCCAAGAAGGTCTGCGAGCTACAAGCTACCGCTGGTCACCGATACTAGGGTCGAATCAATCTTCTGACCGCCGTTCAACTACCTGCTTCGTCTTCAGACTCTTCAGGACTAGCCATGGAGATTGGAAAGTTGGCATGAAAGGAGTCTGCTTGGTTTTACGATGTTTTACATTATATACCTTCCTTACCAAATAAACATTTGAGATGCACTGATGTCAATCTAGAGGACCTTAACCAGTTCATCTCCCTCTCCTACAAACCTATACAGGAGCCCCTTCTAAATCCACTTCAACACCGGTGCGTCCTGGTTGAGATGGTTCGCTTCTATCATCCGGTTTTGGGCCAACGCGACTTCAGTCATTGCTGACAAAACGTATGGCGGCCATTGGCTACCATTTCATTCACTCTGCAATGGCAGGAGCAAAGACATAATGTTTCTTTCCGAAAATTAAGTTCCTGTGATTGTGATTCTTGACCACCATTTTCCAACACCATTTTCCCACGGGAAATTATCACAAATTGGAGTATCCGATTTTGAGACAAGCCCGCTTCTTGCTCAAGAACATGTCTCAACATGAAATTGCCTGAAATATTGCCATGGGCAGCCAAGTCTAAAGAGCTCCAAGATCAGTGACTGTCGATCCACTACGACTTCTGAAATCCTTCCAACACATTCGACCCCATGTTTGGATACGCATCCGACGTGCATATAAACTGTGTCTGGTTCCACTGTCATATCAGGGATATTATCCACTTGCCAACTGGCATTTACATATAGCCGGAGGCCTAGATTGGGGGGTTGTCTGAAAATAGGATACCCCATACCATGCCCCCTGCCATGTTTTTGACAATGATAGTTTCCCCGTTGTTTGATGCCATAAGATATAGGCGGATATAGGCCACAATTTTTGAACAAAGCATCAACAGTCTGTCCACTCTTCATTCATAAACCCCTTTTATTGATGCTAAAATTCCCCCCTGGTGAATTGGCCCCACAGAAACCAGGTCAGATCCACTTTTCTATGAAAATAACAGTGCATATAAACAAGTGCACCCAAGTCAAACCGCAGGCGCGAAATGTACCTAGTAAGACAGGCTCAGAAAACCGAACCAAAAGCACTGCAGCGGGGACGTGACTCTGGAGCAGTTGAGAAGTGTCAAGTGATGCCGGCGTTGCCAACTAAGGTTTGCCATGAAAATAGATCTGGACACTTTGATGGGGTTCACTTTAAAGCTCCTGGTTTTACTATGGAGGCCGTGTCCTCGCACCACACATGGTTAGCCGATCTGGTTTTGCAACAATCCAATGATCAAAGAAAGAGAATCATTGCTTTTCAAACACTGCGGAGAAACTCGGAAGCAGTTTCAGACAGCAACAGCTAGTCCTGGTATCTAGTTGCATCACAAATTCTAGGTATCTCTACGTATCTCTAGGTTATATCCATTACCCAGATAACATTCACGACTTTCGTTTGGACAAACTTCGTCTCTCGGTTCTTGTCGCGTCGCCGCGTTGCGTCCCCCTTTTTCACAACTCTTCACTGGCGGCCTTGGCGGCCTTGTCGCCGGCGTCGCCGCGGAAGATTCCCGCTGCGCCTCGATCCATTGCCGCCGGAAAGGAGCGGCTCGAAGTAAACCAAAAAACCCAACGACAAATCCGAGAATGGTCCGAGAATGCTGGGAATCTCAAGGTTTTTGGAGGATCTTTTGAGGGTGTGGCGATTCAGCTCACGCCATTTTCCCGTCCGCCGGCCTTCTCTCACCTCCTCAAAGAAAGCATCCCACTCCTCCCTGCACGGATGGGGCCCCTCGCTGGTTGAAGCAACAATGATCTGAAATAAATGACAAAAAGATATGGTATGTCCTCTAGAATGGTGCTGGTAAAGATTTTGATATATTGATATATATATATATATACATATATATATATGTCAATATATACATATATATATATACATATATATATATACATATATATATACATATATATATATATACATATATATATACATATATATATACATATATATATACATATATATATACATATATATATATATACATAAATATATATATACATATACATATATATATATATATACATATACATACATATATCTTAGCACGACCAAAACGCAGAACGCAAAACGTACGTTCCGGAACGCGTGTTCCGAACGCAGGGGTGGTTTTAGTGGCTTTATGGATCCCAGAAGCGTCGGAATCCTTTTTTTGCGCTCCCTGCAAAAAGGATCCGCTGTCACATAGTATTTTTCAGAAAATGTTCAAAGTCTTCTTAGACCCCTGCTAATAGCACTACGATAAAATTTGTGAGGGGTCAGAACCTTTTTCTTTCAGAGAAAAAAAGAATCCGGGAAGGAAACCTAACTTGCCCCACAAGCCTGGTGAGGCCAGAACCTTTTTTGCCTCACCCAAAAAGGATCCGGAGTTGGGAAGATCAACTTTCTGGTGGCTTCATACACCACTTTGAGCCCACAAGAGCTCCACATCCTTTTTTTTAGTGAGGGACAAGGGTTTCTCTGTTCAAACCCCGGAAATAAATTGACTTTATATCATTGGAAAAAAGGATTCACTCAGACAGCGCGTTCTGTTACGCGATGTTTTAAAACGCGCGTTCTGAACGCCCAAACGTACCGAACGAACATGCTAAGAGAGATATATATATATATGGTCCAGCGTTCCAACCCCCCTCCCCCCCCGGCCATGCTCATGGGTCAGCCATAGTACTGTCCCCCTCCCCAACCCTGTGGTGTGGTGGGTGTGTGGTACTGTCCCCCTCCCCCCCCACTGTGGCGTAGTGGGGGTGGTGGCACTGTATGGATGGTAGGTATGGTATGTAAGTCTGTTGGGTATGGTATGTTTGATATGACAGTATGTATGGTCTGTATGGTATGTATGGTTACTATGATGGGTATGGAATGTTTGCTATGTAAGGTAGGTATGGTATGTATGGCATGTATGTTTGGTATTGTATGTATGGGAGGTGTGGTAATTATGTTTCACATGTATGGTATGTGTGGTATGCATGATAGGTATGATAGGTATGGTATGTACGGTCAAAGTTCGTATGGTATGTATGGTATGCATGGTATCATTGGAATATATGGTAGGTACGGTATATGTTAAACACATGTAGTGTTGTGAGAGTACACAGGTAGTACGTAGGAAGTAGATACATAGCACATGTATATATGACTATAGGTAGCACGTAGGTACTTTGAGGGAGTATGTGTGCTACGTAGGTCGTCTAAAAGGTAGCATGTACCTAGTAAATGCGAGGCTGGTAGTCAGAAATGCTGCAAAGACCTAGCAAATACGAGGCTGGACCTCAGAAATGCTGCCAATAGCTTGCAAATAGAAGGAAGGGGGTGCTGGGGACCCATACCATTGGGGGGTAGGAACACAGAACACGAGACCATATGTATATATATATATATATGTGGCAGGGACCTTTTGGTATAATGCGACCGTCCTCCTTTCTGATCCCATTTGTTTCCATACTTGTCTCCTTGTCTGTTCCCAACTTGTCTCCTTATTTCTCTATCTCCATTGCGATTCTTCTCTCTGGGCGCTTTCGGTCAAAGGAATCTCCTTGTCTCCCGTTCCTCGCTTCTCTATCCATTGCTCAGTGTTCTTCGTTCTGGTGGCTTTCGGGATAGGACTCAAGTCCCATCTGTTTTCGTACTCGTCTCTCTACTTCACTCTCACATGTGGCTGTTCTCTCTGGGTGCTTCAGGGGCACAGTATGCTCCTTGTCCTCTGTCTGTCTCCGTGCTTGTCCCCCTTGTTCTCGCCAACTCGTGCCCTTACTGCTCCCCCTCTCTCTCTCTCTTGTTCTTCTCTCTAGGTGCTTATTTACATGATTCTCTCCGGTTCCTCACTTGTCCTCCCTTGTCCTCCCTTGTTCCCTCCAACGTGTATCCTTAATCCCCTCCCCATTGCTGCTGCTGGGGGAAGAATGGATTTCCTGGCCTCTTGTGTTTCTCCCTGCCTTTTTTCCTTTGTTCAGGTCACATTCCCTTACCCTCAGTCTCTACCAAATGTTACCCTACTTACCTTCCTACTTGTCTCCAACTTGTCTCCTTATTCTCTCTCCACTACCGTGCTTCTTTCCAGGTCTCCATTTGGGAGGGAGAGGATAGTTTTTCTCCTCTTTCCTTTCTTTCCTTCCTTGTCCCTGTGGTCTTTCCCAGCGCTTTCTTCACTTCTCTCCTCATTCCTGTTGTTCTCGCTGTTGGGACCCAAGATTCCCCTTGTCTCCCATGTGTTCCCATCTGTGTCCTTATTCAGCCAGTTTTTTCCTACTTGCTGTGTGGTCTAGGCTTTAGGACCTTCAGGTGCTTTGGGGCCATAAACATTACCGAGTCCCTCATTTGTGTCCCTTCCGTCACCGCCTTGTTGCAGTCTCCTCTCTTCATTTCTTTTTGTCCCTCCCTGTTACTGTTCTTCTTCCTGGGTGCTTCTGGGCACAGGATACTCTTCATGACTCTTCGTGGTGCTCGATGGCGAAGGATTCTCCTTGCCTCCCATTTGTTTCCATACTTGTCTCCTTGTCTGTTCCCAACTTGTCTCCTTATTTCTCTATCTCCATTGCGATTCAATTCTTCTCTCTGGGTGCTTTCGGTCAAAGAAATCTCCTTGTCTCCCGTTCCTCACTTCTCTCTCCATTGCTCAGTGTTCTTCGTTCTGGTGGCTTTGGGGACAGGACTCAAGTCCCATCTGTTTTCGTACTCGTCTCTCTACTTCACTCTCACATGTGGCTGTTCTCTCTGGGTGCTTCCGGGGCACAGTATGCTCCTTGTCCTCTGTCTGTCTCCGTGCTTGTCCCCCTTGTTCTCTCCAACTCGTGCCCTTACTTCTCTCTCTCTCTCTTGCTGTTCTTCT